CCACTCCCAGCAAGGTAATCAATCCGTGGCCCTAACGCAAAAAACCAAGACGTAGCGCCGGAACCCTAACGTTCCTCACACAACTCCCTACGCCATGTGCATGCGTAGACCATCACGCAGAGCGAGGGCAGCCTCCGTGGCATTTTCCTAGGAAACGGGCCGCGACAAATCCTGCAAACCCAGATCGATGGGGATGGGGTTCCCGTCCCGGTCGCGCTCTAGCAGCAAACCCTTGTCGAATGCAACCCCGACCTCGAGCAGGAGGTTGTGGATGATGCACACAACAACAAATTGCTGCGGGAGGTTATTCATATTCGTCTTGTGATGACAAAGGAATAACCTCCACATCCCCTTCAGCCGTCCAAACGCTCTCTCCACGACCCCTCTCGTAGTCTTCTGACGCGTGTCAAACCATGCCACGTCACCCGCCTTCTCCGAGCCCCTGTACGGGACGACAATCCATGTCCGCGGCGCGTAACCATTGTCTCCCAGTAGGTACCCCGTCGTCCTCACCCCTCCCGGGAGGACGATGGGGTCCGCATTGAAGATCTCGCCCGATTCTGCTCGCCTGATGAGTGATGAGTTCCGCAGCACGCGCTGGTCGTGGACGCACCCAGGATAATCGACGAAGACATCGATTATCCGCATGTCGTGGTCGACGACAACCTGCGCCACGACCAAGAATTGCTGCTTCCGATCAAAGTAGTTTTCGGACGGCGCGTTAGCTGGCTTGTCCACATAAATGTGGGTGCAGTCAATGGCGCCGAAGCAATTCGGGAAACCTTTCTCGCTGAACACTCGGAGGACCTGTAGGAGACGACGACCCGATGGAATTGTGATCTTCTCCGGATACGCGGTTAAGATGGCAGTTGTAACATCGTCGACGGCCTTGATGCATGAAGACCTCCCTATGCCGAACAACGACGTGCCGCTGTCGAATGTCTCTCCAGACGCCCACCGTACAATGTGTATGCCACTATATGGTCGGGCTGCAATGGCTCCCGATAGTGAGTCAGCGTGCGCTGAAGGAAAGGACTGCACGCCACCACTATATCATCGAAGACCGTCCGCGTCATCCGCAGCTTCTCATGGAATTACTCGTCGCTTGCATCATCGGCGATGCTGAGGTCCCTCCATGTGCCACCTGTCCTTCTTTTTACCCACCACCTCGACGTCTCCCTCGGCATCACACCCGCCATGATGGCATTCGACAACATGAACGGCGCATCCCACAGACCTCGCGAGGAGTGCACGTCCATCAAAGCCTGGGCTATGGCGGCCTCCCGTCTACCACGGTTTCGTCCACTGGCCCGCCGCAGGTCGTTCACCGTCTTCATGTGCCGAGAAACTGCAAGCAAGGTCGTTCCTAACAGCGACCTCTCCCTAGGTGTCAGCCTTCGCGCCCCTGCCGCATCCCTGATCCCGTCTTCCATCGCTGCAAACGAACTGCGAACACGCGCAAAGATGGCTTACCGCCTGGCAGGATATGGCGAACAGAGTCCGAAGGCTGAAGCGCGCGCAAAGCTCACTTGCCGCCAGCCGTCACCGCGTGAATTCAAATTTGAATTCGGTCTGCCGCTCGCAATTTTCATTGCGATGGCTCCCGCCTTTGCGCGCCCGGTAGCCTGCCCGCCCTTTCGTAAATGTCCCACAAATTGGAGGTCCCGCAGGCCCGTGGGTCTGGACAACTTCTTGTCCACCGAAACGCCTTCACGGACATCCGTCGCAGAACGAACCGCCTTCACGAACATCCAACGCCGACAGACCGAAAAATCTGACACCCGCCCTCCTCACCTCAGATGTAAGGGCGAGTAAGTGTAGGGTGTTGTGGAACGAAAAAACAAGTTAGTGTAAACTAATCACCCTCGGCCAGTTAGGGCGCCCTTACAAAGTTAGGAATTTCTAGTGGTGTGGAGCGAGGCCCTTTGTTGGATTTTGCTTAGATTTTTTTAGATTTTCTGTTTAGATTTGGTTTAGATTTTTCTTTTCTTCCTTTTTTTTTTTAGTGCCCGTTCGTTTTGAATGAACGGGCAGACATGACTGCGCCCAGTTGTTTCGTCGGACTTCCACCGACTCATCAGGGGGCTTTGCCCCGACAGCCCATCTGCGGATGGGCAAATGAATCTGCCGCCTTCGGGCGGCTACGTTCGGGGTTAGTAGAGAGAGAGAGAGAGAGAGAGAGAGA